GTTTGTTAAATTTGTCCTTACTAATGATTAAGGCATAATTTTCTTTAAGAAATGGTTTGTTAAATTAGTCATTAAAAAAATTCAACATTTCCATTTAATTTTTTTAATTTAAATTTTTTTTAAATATTGCAATTTTGGCGGCCAGTGTAGAAGATTAATCGATTCTTGCCAGGCAGCGTGAGATACAAACAAACCACATGCACGCACTTGTAGTGTATTTTTTAGAACGTAGTGTATTTTAATCTTAACCAAAAAGAGCAATTTTTTTAAGGAAATCTCTCGGCAAAATGGAATACAAGAAAAAGCCAGATTATGCCGACACTGCGTATCGCGAAGCAGTTGGAAGACTCCGAATTCTGCTAGCAGAAAGCTACACTCCAATCAAAAGACCTCTAAGAGAATTAGACAGTGCTGGGGAAGACACCGACAACCAATCTCTCATAAGTGCCACTAGTCGCACCTCGAAAGGATATCGTCCTTATTATCAGTACCTTACAATGCCCCCAAAACGGTACTATTACCCTTCCATAAGACCCACAAGTGTGCTACCGCCAGAAACGGAAAAAACTGTCATGTAAGAGCACCCTAACCAAAAATTTTAACCAATTCAAGATTTTGTAGAAACGCACCAAAATTTGAAAGCAGTTCTGCGCCACCAGAATTAATGTCTTTTATAGAGAAACAAGAGGAGTATATTGAGCAACTTGAGAAAGAATCCAGATTTTGCAGGGTAAATCATTAATTTGGTTTTATTTTTATTTTTTTTTAAATTGTAGGATGAACTTTCCTGTTTGTTAAGCAAAGTCAAAGATGTCATAAGCGAAAATGAGAATCTGCACGAAAAACAGAAATCGAATCTAATGAAGTCAGTTTTTAGTCACTTAGAGACGGAAACGGAAACCGAAACTGAAGGGGATTTAGCCCAAAAGGTGATACTAGTAATTTTTCCCACAAGCCATGATTACTCTCAAAAGATATTTTTGACTTTTTTTAAAGTTTCGAATCATGATTATTAACTGAAAGTTAGCCTAAGACATTTTTTCGGAAATAAAAAACAACTAAATTGGAAAAAATCTTGTATAAAACACGATTCAAAATGGATGTTTTTTGCACACGTCTAGTAAAAAACACGCTCATTTTGCAACTTCTTTCATAAATAGCTAACATTTTTTAATTTTTTTGTCATAGACGATTCTGTTTGAGTAAAACGAAATTTAAAACTTTTATTTCTTTATTTTTTTTATTTCTTATTGATTATTGTTTTTTGAATGTATTTTGAAAGAGTTTTTATTTTATGTTTTGATTTCCAAGTGTTACATTTTTCTTAGTAATTTTTAGTTCATGTTATTTACTGATTTGTGTTATTTTATGCTTAACTTTTATAATTTTTATACAGGGTGCGCCAGAACTCGCGCCCCAGAGAAAAATTTCAAGTAAGATAAGATACCAGGAACATGAAAAAAATGTTTAAAAAATTCTATCAGTCAAAAAATTTTGACATTTATTTTTTGACATTTGACATTTTTTTATATCTATTTAATGATACTGATGATCTTGTATATGTTTTTTTACAATTATTTAGTAAAGGGACAAAAATTTTGCCAATAAAAGCCACAAATAACATTGAACAGAGTTACAATTTAAAATACAGCTTCCTTGTTTCCTCTTTTAATAGCCTATAGCAAAAAAACTTGAAAAATTATTTTTCCAACAGAAATAAATAAAGTCAAAGTGCAAACTTTAAACCTCCATAACTTCGAAATTTTTATAGATAAAATTTTTTTAACATTTTTTCCATGTTCCTGGTATCTTACCTTATTTTTCTCTGGGGCGCAAGTTCTGGCGCACCCTGTATTTTTTATATTTTTTTAACTTTCACACTTTTATACTCCAATTTATGGTTTTAGAGATCCCTATCTTATGGTTTCCTATTTTGTATAACATGTTTTTGTGTTTGTAATAAAATATGTATTTTTGCCCCTCTCTAAAAAAAACGACGCCCATACAAGGGAGGAAAGTGTGAGATTTATTGTCGTTACCCTGGGAGTAATTTTTACATACAGAGTGTGTCAGAACTCGCGCCCCAGGGAAAAATTTCAAGTAAGATAAGATGGAAAAAATGTAAAAAAAAATCTTTGCCAACAAATTTTGACATTTGACTTTTTTATGTCTATTTAATGACACTTATGATCTTGTATATTGTATTGGCAATAAAACCCACAAATAACATTAAACAGAGTTACAATTTAGGACACAGCTTCCTGTTTTCTTGGAAAATTATTTTTCGAACAGAAATAAATAGAGTCAAAGTGCATAATTTAAACTCTCAAAACTTCGAAATTTTGTATAGGTAGAATTTTTTAAATATTTTTTCCATGGTCCTGGTATCTTAGCTTACATGGGGCGCAAGTTCTGGCGCACCTGTGTAATTTTTACAGCAAAAAAAACTTGAAAAGTAACAATTTCTCTTGAGATATCTCAGATTTGCCATTTTAAAATTTTAAATTTTTATTTCCCTAAGAGGTTACTTATATTTTTATTGTAATTTTGACTGAGGGAGAAAATTTTTACCCCCCCTGGGAGATAATTTCTGTTGGGGTCACCATGAAAAAAAAATGGAAAAAAAATATCTCCAAAAAAATTTTGTAATCTGTAAATGTGCAAATTTTAAACCCATTTGATTACAGAATTATTTCACATTTTTCTCCTGTCACTAAACCAAAAAAATATATAAAACACTAGTAAATCACAACTGTTATAGTTTATCAATTACCACATATTAAAAAAAATGATTATTTGACGAATAAGAAATTCAAAAATCTACGTAATCAAATTTAATAATTATAAAAGGTGTAATTATAATACGAACTATACCGCCCGCATGTAACAGAAATAAGTACATTATATTAAGTCAATCAACGTGGAAAATTTTTTTTGGGTAGTCAAAAAACGGAAAAATTAAAGCACAATTTTGGTTTAGATCTCGCTCTCGCCTAAAAAATCAAAAAAATCGCGAGTCCTAGAAGGCCCCACAATCGTTTTTGAGTCAAGAATTTCTGAGCTAGAAGCCCAACTAACCCAAGCAAAAATCGACCTGAGAAAAGCTCTGGAAGAAAACGACAACTACAAGAAAAAAATTGCCGATGGTTCGATTTTCGATGGATTTGGTTTCGAGCATTACAAAAAACAAATTGATTCGTTGCAGAGGTATTTCATAAAAAATTAGAGTGTTTTTAGTTTAGTTTTTTTTAATTTCAGAGAAAAGGATCTCTTGCAGGAGACCATCTCCAAACTTCAAGCCGCTTTGTCCAAAGTTCGCGACAAAGAAAACGACACTTGTGATCAAGTTAAGCGAAGTTTGGACGTGGCAGAACAAGCCCAATACGAAAAAAATGCCGCGGAACTTGAAATTCGAAGACTGAAAGACGAATTGGACCGGCAACATGCTAAACTCAGAGATGCGATTTCAGATCAAGTAATTTTTAAAATTTTCTAAACGAAAAATTAATTAGAAAATTGTAGAGTCGACGAATCTCAGATGAGAGAAGTGCTGTTGAACGTCGATATACACAACAAATCGAGCAATTGACAGCCGAATTGGGGGTCCAATGGGAAACCACAAACAAACTCCAATTGGAGTTGGATAAGCAACGGAGGGAAAACGCAGATTTGAGGAGGGAAATCGCCCAGAAGGAGGCCCTGCTCGACGGCATGCGAAAAGACATGCAAAATAAAATAAGTGAGTTGAAACGAGGGACCAATTCCAAAAATTCACCGAAATTCCAAAAAAAAAAATCACCGGAATTCCAAAAATTCTCGTAATTCCATTATTTTCAGATTTTATTTTTCAAAAATTGCAAAAATTTTGAGCTAAATAATTTTTTTCTAATAACCTGATTACGTAGAAGATAGTTTACAGGACAAAGGGAAATAAAAAACATTAAATTGCTCGCGACGTTTCGATACTTTTATTGTATCTTCTTCAGGCGAAGGAAACGAGGAACCAATTGCAACAAATCCACCGAAACTCCAAAATAATCCACCGAAATTCCAAAAAAATCCACCGAAATTCAAAAAATCCACCGAAATTCTCGTAATTCCATTATTTTCAGATCAAATGCACTAATTTATTTTTCAAAAACTGCAAAAATTTTGAACTAAATATTTTTTTCTAATAATCTGATTACGTAGAAGATAGTTTACAGGACAAAGAGAAATAAAAACCATTAAATTCCTCGCGACGTTTCGATACTTTTATTGTATCTTCTTCAGGCGAAGGAAACGAGGAACCAATTGCAAAAAATCCACCGAAATTCCAAAAAAAATCCACCGAAATTCCAAAAAAATCCATCAAAATTACAAAAAAATCCAACGAAATTCTCGTAATTCCATTATTTTCAGATCAAATGCACTAATTTATTTTTCAAAAATTGCAAAAATTTTGAACTAAATAATTTTTTTCTAATAACCTGATTACGTAGAAGATAGTTTACAGGACAAAGGGAAATAAAAACCATTAAATTCCTCGCGACGTTTCGATACTTTTATTGTATCTTCTTCAGGCGAAGGAAACGAGGAACCAATTGCAAAAAATCCACCGAAATTCCAAAAAAAATCCACCGAAATTCCAAAAAATCCACCGAAATTCAAATAAAAAAACGAGATTCTCGTAATTCCATTATTTTCAGATCAAATGTACTAATTTATTTTTCAAAAATTGCAAAAATTTTGAACTAAATATTTTTTTTCTAATAACCTGATTACGTAGAAGATAGTTTACAGGACAAAGAGAAATAAAAACCATTAAATTCCTCGCGACGTTTCGATACTTTTATTGTATCTTCTTCAGGCGAAGGAAACGAGGAACCAATTGCAAAAAATCCACCGAAATTCCAAAAAAAATCCACCGAAATTCCAAAAAAATCCATCAAAATTACAAAAAAATCCAACGAAATTCTCGTAATTCCATTATTTTCAGATCAAATGCACTAATTTATTTTTCAAAAATTGCAAAAATTTTGAACTAAATAATTTTTTTCTAATAACCTGATTACGTAGAAGATAGTTTACAGGACAAAGGGAAATAAAAACCATTAAATTCCTCGCGACGTTTCGATACTTTTATTGTATCTTCTTCAGGCGAAGGAAACGAGGAACCAATTGCAAAAAATCCACCGAAATTCCAAAAAAAATCCACCGAAATTCCAAAAAAATCCATCAAAATTACAAAAAAATCCAACGAAATTCTCGTAATTCCATTATTTTCAGATCAAATGCACTAATTTATTTTTCAAAAATTGCAAAAATTTTGAACTAAATAATTTTTTTCTAATAACCTGATTACGTAGAAGATAGTTTACAGGACAAAGGGAAATAAAAACCATTAAATTCCTCGCGACGTTTCGATACTTTTAATGTATCTTCTTCAGGCGAAGAATTCCTGTTGGTTGAGCGTGGGAAGTATGGCAGAGTTAATTAATTAAATTTAATAAATTTTTATTTTCCTTTGTCCTGTAAACCATCTTCTACGTAACCAGGTTATCATATTTCAAGGACAAGAAACACAAAATGGAGAATTTTTTCTAATTTAAATAATTTAACTTCAAAAAATCATTACTCAATAACTATTAGGCCTATTTCATTCAAATAAAGACCATTCTAAAGGGTTGGACTTGCCCTTTAGAATGATATGCAATTTGAAATTTACTATTTGCGAACTTTTCTTCGAAGAAGTTCGAAATAAATCGAAATAATATAAGAAAAAACCTACGAGTAATTTTTTTTCATCATCACCATCGTGTAGAGCATATTTTTGTTAGCTAAAATCCAAATTTTTACAAGAATATACGGAGTAGTTTTCAAGATATGATTTTTTGAAGTTAAGATTTTCTCGCCATGTAAGAGAAATGCATGTTAATCTTACTTAAAATTGCATTTTAAAACTTTGCTTTTGCTTAAAAATGGTCAAAAATTCCCTTAATTCCAACTTAATTTTCGTAATTCTAAAAGAATTCTAGTAATTTCAAATAATTCCAATGTATAATTCTGTCGGTTTAGTGACTCTGCAGTCGGACATTGGGGTCAACGGGGCCGAGAAAAGCGCCCTAGAGCAACAAATTGCAACTCTTCAGATGACCAATGAGAGGAATGAGAGACAATCAAAGCAGGAAATCGGGCGTTTGCAGGCCGAAATGCAGTCTTTGAGACAGAGATTGGATCGAGCAGATGCTGACCTCATTCACAGCAGGAGGGAGAATATTCGACTTACTGAGCAAGTGGCTTCCTTGGAAAAAGAAGTATGTCCAATAGCAAAAAAATACACTACTCCAAAAAATTAAAGGAACAAAAAATTTTCCAAAATTGAGGCTTCAAGTTTCTAGTTTTGAGATCTTTGTTTGTTCACTTTTAGTATTCTTTTTTTCATATTCTCTTTGAATTGAAAAATGAAAATAATGTACTCTTTTTTTGGTAACCTTGCATTCTTTAAAATCACTTTTAATGTCAAAGATGTCTTAAGTTTTTTATTTTTTTACTTTC